GGTTTCAGAACATCTGCTTCCAGTATAGCGGACCAAGTCGTCACGCTTCCCTACCTTCGTCGACTCCATTTAAAACGTGGCCGGTTCTTGAATAATCTCGAGGCCCCGGTACTCGAGCAACTGTTCATGACTGGTGAGGTGGACACACTCCCCTCTTTCCTCCACCGCTCCTCCTGCCAGCTCACCAAACTCGTCTTGACGTACTGCACACCATCACCCGCCCTCACCGATGTTCTCCATTTGCTCCCCGCCCTCACGGATCTAATTCTCGAGCCTAATCCGGGTGTACAACAACAGACGAAGCAGCTGCTGGGCGAACTGACGCTCTCCGGCGCTCTGTCCGATATCTGCCCCCGCCTCGAAGCGTTTTCCTACGGGGATCGCCGCCTCGGCGATGTCGCCGACGTGTTGTTTGCCATGGTGCAGTCTCGCGTTCGCCCCGGACGCCGAAGCGGCCTGTCCATTTTTCGCATCTGGTTCCACAGCTTGTCTGATGCAGTCGCGGAGTGGCTCAAGGAGTTGTCGGATGAAGGCCTTGACGCGGCTTATATTTCGCACAGTGATGCGGCGGAGTGGATGAGGAGAGGGTGTCCCTGAGCTACCAGGTGCGTAGGCATGGTCGACGGTGCGTGTGCCTCAACCAAGATATATTGCCTAGAGTTGATCCTTGACTTTCAGTGGCGACCTATTCGAGAAATGCATTTCCCGTTTAATTCTTAAGTTACTCAGAGGGATGTGTGCTCCTTTTCCGAATATTTTGTTGCATTTTGACTAAACACGACGTCTTTCCCGCGTTGTAACCCCGGTATCTTAATATTCAAAATAGATCGATTCATGAATTTCAGGTTGCGATGGCCTAAACACTCGGGCTTCCAGACGACGCATTTATCTATCTAACACGCAGGAAAGTGCCATAATTTCCCGGTGCCTGAGTTAAAGTACGTGTTGAATAACTTCGATTCAGTTGTGATAACCCCTCACAATTTTGCTTGAATCATGAAACAAGGACCGTTACTCCTTTTTCAGTGTGGGGTGTTATAATTTTGGATCCTGAGCGTCTACTATTTTCAGCACTCGTTTCACACAGCAGCTTCTTCGATCAAAGCTATGGTGTTCATGGAAGCTTATTTTACCTTACCAGCCTGTTCACTCGGGGGAAATGTCATCGGCGAAGGAGCCGGAGCCCGATGCAATCTCTGACTCACTACATGCCTTCTAGACGCCCGTACACTTTCATAAGACAGAGAAGCACGACACGCGGCATCCTGCTTGCCACCTCCCACCGCATGGGCAATACACTCGATACCTCTCAAACGCCGCCGAAGAAACGAGAGGATGAAGCGGATCGTTACACTTCGCTCAATCTTGGAGTGTGGCGGCTCTTACTTCCCAAACAAACATCCACCGGATTCCGAGTTTTAATCGATAAATGGAATAACGTCGCTGCCGCTTATCCACTCGTGCTTCGGTTCCTACAGGAAATCTACTCGCTCAACCCGGGGGTGTTCATCCTCGTAGTCATGTTGAAATTCTGGGCAGCAGTCGAGTCTGTGCTAATGCTATATGTCTCGGACAAACTCTTGAAAATTGTGAGAGTCTGCTGATTGTGGTGCGCTTTCTAACAACATCGCAGATTGAGGCCGGTATTAGAGAAGGACGCCCGGATGCGAACGCCATTACCCATGCGCTTGTAGCACGTTTGATATGTGTTACTTTTACTGCGATAACTAGATGGGCGAGGTGCGTTGTCGCCCAGATTACACCGCGGAGATTTTTTCATCGATTCCTTGTTGCAGACAATACATCTCTCCCATCCTCGAGTCTCATGTCGAACTTCACTTCGAGGATTATCTACTCCGGGGTGATATGTCTGATAATAAAATATTGAATACCGCTCACGATCTCAACTTCAGCGAATCTCCGACTTGACATGCCCACGTCAAATGGTACGACCCCTTAGGCATTGTTGTCCATGTTTCCGCTCATTTCAGTGCGTCAGACAGCAGCAGTAGATCGCGCGCCAGCTCAGAGGACGCCTGGCGCTCATTTGACGGGCTTTGCGAAGCCGCTCAATGGCTCTTTTCACTCGTTAGCCAGCTCGTATTTATATCGCAGCAAAAGAGCGCAGGTCTAGTGTTCATGCTGCTCGCTGTCGCACGCCCGCTTTGGACGTTAATGGGCCATCGGACGTTGTGGTTGAAACGTAATTCCCCTTTCTCAGCTACACGCCCAGCTGACCTATGGGCTTTACAGCACATGTTGTGTACTCCGATAATACGGCATACCTCAGGCTGGGCTCGTTGCAATCTATGTCTGCGTCGTGGTATCGCGGGGATGTGATCGCGGGCAATATCGCAGGATGGATCACAGCCGGTATGTTCATTCAATAAGCACGGTGTAACTCTTGCCATATCCTCGCTGCCGCAGAATACCACCGCGCCCGCGACACACTCGGATCCGTCCCGTGCCAGAATGTCTGGGCGCAGTACAGTAGGGTATTGACGCCCACATCTGAAATCACCGAAAGTTGGGCCGGTGAACTCCCCACGGTGCGTCGACGGCCGCCGTCTCTCATTTTCGCTATCTTGATTCCTCACCATGAAATACGCAGCTCTACTGGGTGCTCAACGCAATGTTTCGGCCATCAAAGTTCTCAATGACCTCGATCGCGATTCTCCACCAATACTCCATGTCCCTAAATTACTCACTGCAGATGCTCTTCTGGGCTGTCTCTGGAGTTGGCAAATGCGTCACGGATATCAAGCTCCTGTACCAAACAGCGGAAATAAAGAACATCGTCGTCGACGGGGACACCCCATATCCGCGTGAGAGCGTCGACGGGCTCAAAGGAATGGATATCGAACTCCGGTGTGACTCTTTGTCCTTAGCCTTCCAGATGGACTGAGTCCTTTGCCGCAGGAACGTCTCTTTTGCCTACCCGGGGGACAAAGCAAAGGAGAAAGCGCTGCAGGACATTTCCATTAGAATTCCTGCTGGTAGTCTGGTCGTCATCGTCGGCGCGAACGGTAGCGGGAAATCAACGATCATTAAGCTGCTCGCCAGAATGTATGATGTGGACGCAGGCGCGATCCTCGTCGACGGGCTACCCATCGCAGACTACCGCCTCGCGGACCTGCGGCAGACGCAGGCGACGTTGACGCAAGACCACAACCTCTATCCACTTACTCTGGCAGAGAATATCGGACTTGGGTACCCGGAGCACGTCGACGATACGGAAATGATCATGCAGGCTGCTGCAGACGGTGGCGCCGCAACGCTTCTAGACAAGTTCACGGACGGCGTGCAGACGAACTTGGAGCCGGTGACGACGGCGTACGGGTACGAGTTGGACGATGAGAAGCACGAGGCGCTCAAAGCCGTCCTGAAAAAGCTGGAAAAAACAGCCGAGGTCTCAGGTGCGCTTCTACCCAGACTTATGTTTGGCCATTTTCCGATCTGCTCTGAATTTAGGTGGTGAAAAGCAACGGCTTGTCGCGTCAGTATCGAGGGTATAGAATCCTTAATCACTTACTTAAAGATAAGCATTAGGTCGCGGACATTCATGCGCTTCCAGACGGGGAAAATAAAACTCCTGAGTGTTGACGAACCCTCAAGCGCCCTCGACCCCAAGGGAGAATTTGAGCTCTTTCAGCGTCTTCGGGAGACCGCTGACGGAAAGACCATGATATTCGTTACGCACCGATTTGGGCATCTGACAAAGTACGCAGATCTCATCGTGTGCGTTTTCTTATCCTTTTTCTACGGATACATTCGAACTGATAAATGTTGGATCCACAGATGCATGAAGGAGGGGAAAGTAGTGGAATCTGGGACGCACAAGGATTTGATGGCGCGCGACAGCGAATACGCAAGTCTGTATAACGTGCAAGCGCAAGCATTTATGTCTGCTGCGGAGTAATAGTTAAAAGCAACGCGATCTGAGCTATCTAGTGCTTTAGAGCTAGCTGTTGGCTCAAATTACGCAGGTGCATCTTTTAGATTTCGCGTCAGGTCTTATGTGCCCGTAATCCATGGCGAGTGGTGAAAAATAGATTACAGCATTTTTGCTCCCCACTTCAATACATTCTAATCTGTTGAGTGCATATTGAACCTTGGCCATCAATTTCCTGGACGCTTTGGCTTGCATTTCGTCGCCCACAGTATGCCACTCTCAATTAGCCTGTGATTAGAGTGTAGTTTGTCACCATCGAAATGTCCTACTACTGTTCGTGGCCAAATCCCGAACACTCAACCACCTTCACGAAGGCCGGAAATATGTGAGGTAACCAGACTCATAATATTGAACCCGGATGAGTACCAACAAGGACGTCTGGCATGGGCCGACACTGTGCACGTACAGACGCGGACCATCCGCCACCGAGTTGGTTCTTAGGTTGAACGCAGGGGAGATGAGTAAGCTTTATTTTATTTTATTTTTGGCCAGGGGACAGTGGAACCCGCCCTCCAAAAACGAATTTACCAGGTCCTCATGACTCGAGCCTGATATAAACAGGCGCCTTCTGCTTGCACGCCTTCTTGAATAACATCAAACACAAACGCAGGCCACCCGCCATCGGGTCGGCTCTTAGCCTGAGCGTAGTGGAGACGGGTGAGCTTGTTAACTGCAGAATTTATGAATTAATCCACAGCCAACAAAACAGAACGACAAGAATTAGAATGACTCGAGCCTGATTCAAACAGGCACCGTCTGCCTTCGATGGCTGATGTGTATATCAAGCGCAGACGCGGACCACCCGCCACCGAGTCGAGTCTTGGCTTGAACGCAATGGAAACGTGTGAGCTCGTTTTATATTACTGCAAAGGCGGGACCCTTCCAAAGAATTAAAAAATCTAACAAGCGCAGACGCAGACCATCCACCATCGAGTTGGTTCTTGACTTGAACCCAGGTGAAATGAGTGAGCTTATTTTAAATTTCGGCAAAAAGTTGAAATGACCCTTCCAAAAAGAATAGGAAAAAAACGAAGTGGCAAACCAGCAATGACTCGAGCCTGAATCGAACAGGCACCTTCTGCGTAAATTATATCCAAACGTGACAACGAGCGCAGACGCGGTCCATCCACCACCGAGTCAGTTCTTAGCCTGCATGCGAGGGAGATGGGTGAGCTCGTTTTATATTTCCGCAAAGTGGGTAAGTGAAATGCCTGCCAAAAACGTTGCCCATAACATGACTCGAGCCTGATTCGAACAGGCGTCTTCTGCTGAAATACTCTGCGTTGCGTACTCAGAAAGCGCAGAGCGGACCACCCGCCACCGAATCAGGTTTTAGCCTGCATGCAAGGGAGATATAAAAGCTTCTTTATATTGCGGCAAAATGAGTATACTGGAATCCCGCCCTCACAAAAAGTAATGAGCCTGGCGGCATATTATGACTCGAGCCCGAATCGAACGGGAATCCTTCTGCTTTAATCGAATTCGGTTACTAGCAGACGCAGACGCGGACCATCGGCCATCGAATCGGTTCTTGGCTTCAATGCAAGCAAGCTGAGATCACGGTCTCAAGACCTCACGTGCCCCACGGCGCGTCACGTACTTGGTGCCAAACACCAAATCCAAAGCCTTCCTCGCATTCCCGAGACGCGGTTCGATGTAGATGGATAGAGTGCAAAACGATAGAAATTCCCCCACGAAACTATAATACAATGCAACTTACGTTTATGAATTACACAGCAGACGACTACTACGCGTCGGCGTCGTTCCCGTCGAAGAGACCGTATACTGTGTCAGGAATAAATCTACCACCAATTTATCAATACCCGCTCGCGAAGAAAAGGAAAACGCGCACCTAGTTCCCGACTCTTATTATCTTGCACGAACTTCAAATAACACCCGTCCTCTTTCCCCTCCGCGGCGCACGCGACCTCGAACGTGAAGAGCGTCCGCGTGGAGCAGGCGAATTCGGGGATCTTCAGCTCACTCCTCCCATTTGTATTTGCACTGACGGGCAGGCTGGCGAGGAGCTCCCGCCGTGAGGGCGGGTGTCCCAGGAGAGGTATGCGGCGACAGGGGTGCGCGCGCGGCGAGGGCCCATATGGCTAGCGTGAGTGGGAGAGGGGATACGGAGGCGGAGGTGTTCGTGGCGAGCGTTAGGACGCAGGTCTCCATCCCGAAGTCGATCGTGCGGAATTCGAGACCTGCTTGTTGGGTGAGTAAAGATAAAGGAGGACGAATAAAGGACGAGGAAGGAGGAATGAGGAAGGAGGAAGGAGGAATTTGGCCAGGAATTTAAGAAGGAAAAGGAACGCACCCCGCTCTGAACGATAAACATCCGATCCTCGCTATAAATCGTCCCGAAATTCGATGCCCATTGCGGCGTCTGGAGGCACGTCTCCCCCGACGCGGAGGCGTTGACGTGCGTGAGGAGGCCTGGGAAGTTCGTTATCGGCGCGGGGTGGTATGTGTGTTTGAGGACGGCGGAGGCAAGGCCGATGTACTACGGGTCGGTGTAGCGCAGTTCGGCTTATGCGTGTGGGGTAGGAAGCGGGGAGACGGGAGAAGAGCGGAGGGTGCGGTCTACGGGATTTCATTAGTCAAGTATAACTTGGACAGATGAATGAGTGTACCCTTGGATCTCGGCGAGGGTTTCTTTGGCGCCCACCCCCAGCCATCGACGGGCGCGTCTGAGAGGAGAGGAGTGGTTCTAAGCTCCTGCTGGCGACTCGGAGTTGCGATGCTGTGATACGATGTTTGCTGAGTTCAAACAAGCAGTATTCGGCAGTCTATTCCTCGATGACACTAGGCGATGAGGTCAGGAGACGATGAGCGCTTGTTGGGCGCTAAAGGGTGCACGTGCCTTGCGCATCGCGCACTGTTCGGTACCAAACATGGCCAAAGCGAATCCTTACGACAAGTGAAACAGGTTCAACACGGAACTCAGTCAATTATAATGTCTGTCCGCCCTGCTCTACTTCGGGTACTCCTCGCGTATGACTCGAGCCTGATTCGAACAGGCACCTTCTGCTTTACAGTGAAATATGCTGGCTAGCAAGTGCAGATGCGGACCATCTGCTACCGAGTCGACTCTTGCATTGAGCGCAAGCAAGCCGAAATATGATATCAGCGATTTCCCAGGGCCGAAAGACGCCGGAATTTCAAGCCTCATCTCTTCAAGCACGCAGGGTATTTTTTCCCGCTAACAGTTTGACGGAATTCCTGCCTAGGTTGCACGGCCGGCGACCCCAGCGTCTTCCTCACTTGCTGCGTCAGCGCTCGTAAACAACACGTGCAGCTGTCCGCGGTTTTCTTTGGATGGCATATGCGTATTATTTCGACTGCGTTACCAACACATCCAACGCTGACTGTGGCACGGCCGCGAGTACTAGTGCCGTTATGGCCCCATTAAAATCCGCTGTTGTTCTTGTGGGTGTTACACTACTGCTGGGCGCGATGGGAGTTTAATTGGTGTCGGTATTCTTCAATACCAATGATGTACTGTACGCTTTCACATAGACATTTCCGAGACATTATCTGATTCGTGTTCGGTCGGTGTAGGAGGTGTAGGAAGCCGTTATCTTTTTGAGCGCCTAGTCGTCATACACTTGGGGTTGACGTGCCGTATCTTCCTGCTCAACAGCCATTTATGTTCAGATCCTGAATCACTACGTCTAATTTCACCAGCCACCGTATCTCATCAGGTGAGTATGGCGTTCTTCCGCTATTTATATTGAGAAGCCAGCCGCAGGTATTTATATTGAGCTCATCCGGATCTTTCTTCCCCGCCGACATAGATTAAGCTTAACTGATGCCAGCCGCAACGTCTTCTTTCTCCTCCTCCGTTGCGCTTCCCTCTGTCGTGCTTCCGAAAGGCTGCTCGAGCAGTGACTCCCTCGGGCCTGATTCCGTCGGAAACGGAAGAAGCGGCACCTTTTCAGGTACGTAGCATATCGTGTTCTTCCGCATTGTTAACCACTGGACGAAACTACCAACAGGTTGCACGGCGGGTGTCGCCAGCGTCCTTCTTTCCTGCTGCACCAGCGTCGGGAGTACGGCGGCCTTCGTGAACAACACGTGCCTCTGTCCGTATAACACGATCTTCTCCCCGGTTACAGAGGAGAAGTTCTTCGACTGCGTTGGCAACAACTCAGACGCTCAGTGCGGCACGGCCTCAGGTACCAATAGTGCCACTGTGGCGTCATTGCGGAATGCCGTAGTTGTTGTCTTGGGTGTTGCGCTTCTGTTGGGTGCGATGGGAGTGTAATGGAGTCGGACTCTTCAAATTGCCAACTATGGTCTAAGTTGCACATCTACGACAAAAGTCTCCAAGAAATCACCGATTCCTAGGTAGTAGCCGGCGTGGGTTGACGTGCCACCGCATCTCCCGATTCAATAGCTATCTATATTGAGTTACATAGAGCAGCTTTCACAGCGTCTAATTCACACAGCATTCCGCAAATCTCTAGTGAGATTATTTTACAGTCCTGCGAAGCGAGTGAGTCCAAAAAAGGAAAATGCAAGCAACTTCACGAATGACTCGAGCCTGATTTATTCGAACAGGCACCTTCTGCCAAAGTACACCCTGGCCAATTTTATAGCAGGCGCAGACACAGACAACCCGCCACCGAGTCAGTTCTTGACTTTAATGCAAGCGAGACGAATGTGCACATTTATATTCCGGCAAAGCCAGTATAATGAAATGCCCGACCCAAAAAAGAAAAATTGAATCGCGGCCAAGAATGACTCGACCCTGATTCGAACAGGTACCTTCTGCTCAAATTCCTTTCCTTATCTCCTTACATAGTGCAGACGCGGACCACCCGCCATCGAGTCGACTCTTAGCCTGCACGCAAGATGGATGAGTGCGCTTATTCTACATTGCTGCGAAGCTGGTAATAAAATACCTCCGGCAAAAAGAAAAAACATATCAACAACTAAAGAATGACTCGAGCCCGAATCGAACCTCAAAGGAACTTGTGGGCGAAATGAGCGCAGACACGGACCATCCGCCATCGAGTCGATTCTTGGCCTGAACGCACGGAATATGAGTGAGCTTTATTTTATATTTGGACGAAGCCGGTCATGAAATGCCCCCGCCAAAGAAGAAAAAACGATAGAGATCGACAAATGACTCAAGCCCGATTCGAACAGGCACCTTCTGCTTAAATTGGAATACTATTTCTGCAGACGCGGACCATCCACCATCGAGTCGGTTCCTAGTCTGAACAGAAGGCACATGCGTGAACCTCTTTATATTGCGGCGGAGCCGGCAATTACAGCTGTTTGCATAGTCGATCGAAATTTGAAATAAATAAGCACTTTGAGTTCCCGTTTTTCTGGCCTCATATCTTGCCCATTTCTGGACAGAATCACTTGGTTATAGATGCATTTGAAAGGGGCTAATGAGAGCTTCCAACCCATACCCTATTTTACCGCTGATTGCGAAAATTAGGGTGTGTCAAAATTAGGGCCAGGTCATTCTAATGCAAACATCAATCCTTCTCACTTGGTCAAATCTTATCCAATCTGAACGAGATAAAGTTTGCCGAAATGAGGATCTGAAGGCAAACATTTCCATTGTGAGAGAAAATGGTTTCATCCAAAAATGGGCCTCCAGTGATTCGGGCATCGAATCAAGTCGAGAACACAGACTTGAAAGCAGGTTAGACAAAATTTTCAAAAGCCCTTCAGATCGCCGTGGGTGCCTGAAAATCCTCTTTAAAATGAACCCAGAATCAGCGAATTTCGTCCAGAATTGACTGAGAACGGGGCGCAAGAAGTGGTGATCTGAAATACACACGGCCGAATTTCACTTCCCTGGTTTTTTGAATTATACAGTCAATCCGGTACCATTCGAAAGCGCGTCTAAAAGCGCGTCGAACGCGCCCAGAACCGAGAAAATCTGTTTAGATTTGGGTGAGAAATGAGCGGCAGAAGCCGACAGATCAGAATTGATCCTATCATTCCAAATTCGGCGACTGTCATCAATTATGCAAACAGCTGTAAGTACCTCTTCCATGAAGGAAAAAGGCATAGCCGACGAAGAAATCAATGACTCAGGCCTGATTCGAACAGGCATTATCTGCTGAAAACTTTCAACCGACATACCTAGCAGGGGCAGACGCGGACCATCCGCTACCGAGTCGGCTCTGGAATGGAGCGCAAGCAAGCTGAGAGATGGAGATATCAACTGAAAAAATCAGATTTCAATCCACCCAAAGCCCTCACGTGCCCCACGGCGCGTCGCGTACTTGGTGCCAAACACGGACAAAGCCGCGCCCATTCCTCCATTCGTTTCGTTTCTTCCGTGTTCGACGGGGTGAGATGGAACGGAAAGCAAGACCAGGAACAGCGAAAATTTACCCGCGAAATTATAGTACAATACGCCGTAAAAAAATAAATTACACAGGCCAACAGAGGACTACACGTCGGCGTCGTTCTCGTCATTCTCGCCTTCGCCATCGCCTTCGGAGGGGGAGGCCGCATACTGCGTCAGGAATAAGCCTACCATTGTCACCAAATAATCAACGCATGCTCGCGAGGAAAAAGGAAAAGGAAAAGGAAAGCGCGCACCTAGTCCTCGACTCTTATTATTATCCTGCACGAACTTCAAATAACACCCGTCCTCCTTCCCGTCCTCGGCGCATGCGACCTCGAACGTGAGCAGCGTCCGCGCGGGGCAGGCGAACTCGGGGGTCCTCAGCTCATTCGTGCTTGCGGTCGGGGTGAAGGCGAAAGGCAGGGTGGCGAGCAGCTCCCGCCGCGACGGGCGGGTGTCCCAGGAGAGGGTGTGCAGCGACAGGGGCGCGGGGGTGGCGAGGGTCCACACCGCGAGCGTGAAGGGACGAGGGGAGACGGAGGCAGAAGCGTTCGTGGCGAGCGTCAGGACGCAGGTCTCCATGCCGAAGTCGATCGTGCGGAATTGGGATATGGTGGAGACCTGCGGGTTGGGTGAGACTTGAAGATCCGAGTAAAGGAAAAGGAAGCGCACCCCGCTCTGGACGACAAACGTCCTATCCTCGCTATATATCGTCCCGAAATTGGACGCCCAGCTCGGCGTCTCGAGGTACACCTCTCCCGGCGCGGAGACGTTGACGCGCGCGAGGAGTCCCGGGAAGTTCGTTATCGGTGCGGGGTGGTACGGGTGTTTGAGGACGGCGGAGGAGAGGCCGATGTACGGGTCGGCGTAGCGCAGTTCCGCTTGTGCGTGCGGGGGAGGAGGAGGGGAGGAGGAAGAAGAGTGGAGGGCGAAGGCGAGGTTGAAGAAGAGGGAGAGCAGGGAGACAGCGCAGGCGAGGAGGACGAAGGTGAGGGTGCGGTCTGCGCGATTCACCGTTAGTCGGGTATAACTTCAAGAGATGAATGGCGTACCCTTCGATCTCGGTGAGGCTTTTTCTGGGGTGGGCGACCCCCAGCCATTGACGGGCGCGTCCGAGAGGAGGGGGGTGGACACCGACATCCTGAGCTCAGGCTAGGAATTTCGCGAGTCGTCTTGATGGAATTGTATTTCGGGTTAGGGTTATGTCTTCCGAGCTGGTTCATCAGACGAATGCAGCGACTGAACCGCGGTAAAAATAGAGCATATTCGCAGCCCTCCAAAACCTGTAGCCGATGAATTTGATTCCAAAAGTGATGGGTGATACTAGAAATCTGTGACGCCGAAAATAGCAACGGCTCCTCGGCAGACCCAGGCAAAAACCAGAGCTCCCGCCCAAAAAACAATGGACACACAATTATTTTTGGTTCAAACATGAGGAATGAAGTAGGTACAACCCCCCGGCTTCAGAGGATTTATTTCCCTCGTCTATGGGCTTATAGCTGGGCTATGGACCAGATCTGGTCACATCAGTCACCCGACGTCGGTTAAAACTTTCTTGTGATGGCAGGAATCTCAAAGTCGAATTTCGCCGCTGCGAATATGCTCTAATATTCTCACATCTCCACTGATGCCGATAAGCGATGGGAAATCTGTTTTGGCGTATGTGTAATGGCGGCCTCGCAACTGTGCTCCCGCCCTCGCGCTCGCTCACATCCCGCCCGCCGCTTCTGCGCGTACCACTAGCGATGCCCACCCGGGTGTCCGCC